AAATCTCGAGGTTCCTACCAGGAAGGCAATCACACCACTTTGATCCAGAGTATTGGAAAATCATTCTTTCGGTCTAAGTTATGGGAGGTGCTATCAAATATTCAGGTTAGTAATTTGGCATATATTTAGATAGCTGAAGCAGATGATGCTTGTGATGAATAAATGTCCAAGAGTAAGAAAGTATTTTTATTTTTTCAGATCTAATGTGTTGTTTTATGGTGTTACATCATACGTTTGTGTGTACAGTATCAAATTTAGATTAACGTAGTAGCTGGTTGATAGTGAGTAGTAGTGAATAATGAATCATGATATTTGAACCTTTCTCACAGCTTATAAATTGAGGAAAAGAACGGTTACTAGGATTAGGAACTACTTACAACGGAGTGAGGATCGTATTAGGATGGGAGCGATTAGAGACGGCGGCATGAAATTCTTCATTTACTTCATTGCGGCTTCGATGCAGTCTCCATTTTCTTTCTTTTTGTTGTGGAAACCTGTCTGCTATAGCTAAATTTTTACGGTGGATTGTTGTGTGTGTGTGTGTGGACCGAACCAAGATGAGTAAAGCTATATATTCACTCAGGTTTTGACTCAACGGAATCTTAGAAATGCCTTTCTGATCAATTGCATGAGCCCTCGTCAATCTTTCAACTGGATGTAATAATCGCGAAAAGCGGAAAAGAATATTAATTGGTTTGCAGTGACAAAAAGTATGGGTCGGAAGACCGGCAGTATGGATAGGTACGCAGGCACGCAAATCAGAAAGACTAATCGTTGACATCCCATGGTCCGTGGCAATTATTTATACAAATAATACTTTGGTTGTCGAGATTATAGTAAAAATTAGGATTCCTCATTTTTGCGACGACGCAGCGTCCATTGGACGAAGTCAAAAGTACACGAAAGACGGAAAATCACGGAACAGGCGTACCTTAGTCGGATAATACGCATCCATCGGCGCTTTGAGAAACGACCGAGGGGCGATGTGTTGTAAGCTTGTAGAAGTAGCTGGTGTTGCAGAATAGCAGCAATTCCGATTCAACCCAAGAATTCCGTCTCGATTCGCTCTTTCATTCTCTAATTGTCTGAGTCTTACAACTACAAGAGAGAAATGAGTGGAAGATGGCAACAGATAATCGGCCCAGTGGAGCCAACGTATCGATCGTCTTCTTTCCAGTATAATCCATCGAGAAGCTGTAGACCCAGCAGCTGCATGCAGACTTGAGCTGGGTTCCGAAACACAAACATTAGTGTAATTGATGTACTCAACAAAATCACTACTACGGTAATATACACCCTCGAGTGACCATGAAATCCTCTAATTTGAACCCTAACAAACCTGATACATTAAAAACAAAGAAATAGAAGAAAACGGAAACGATGAGCCATAAAGAATGATTTTGTGCTCGCGCTCAGCTTCTTTGCTTCTGTACTTGTTCATCCTTCGTTTTCGTTGCTTGCGTTGTCTGTCAGACAGAAATCTCATGTGTAGAACACCCTCACAATAAAAATTGAACTCGATCCGTGAAATGAATCTCGATTCGAACAGTCAATCCAATTAATACAGAACATTTGTTGTCCTCACCCAGACGGTACGCAAAAAACGAAATGCAAGGAATGGAATCGAATATGATCGAACAAAGCAGCAGGCGCATTGRAAGACAGGAAATGGCATCGCACCTGGTGGTTAAATTCCATTCTCGCACCGTCATTTTCCATTATGTTACCACCATAAAACGGCTTTTTCGGTTCCAACTTACTCTCAGTTTTACTTTGTTCTGTAGCGTTGTTGGCTTATCCACACACTCGATTTACGTTTTGCGCTTTCTCATTTTGGACGTAAGTCGCTTGAAACTTCGGTTACTTTGCGATTTGTCTCGGTATATGAATGGTGGCTACAATAGGTCGATTGACAGTATCCGACGGCAGGAACTGTTACGCCTATCATTCAGCAATATGATTGTTCAGTTCCATATGCTGATTGGTGATGTTTATTTAGCGGTACCGTACCGTACCGTACCGTACCGTACCGTACCGTACCGTACGTACCAATCAAAGTCAAATACTTTCTCGTATGGTACGTACCGTACCGTACGGTACGAACGAACTCGTACCAACGGAATAAATCAATAAATCAAGAATTTTTCTACCGCATACTCACTCAAAATGACAAAATGATTTCAACGGCTGCTAAATTGGTGTCTTGATATGATTGCAATGATGACGGACAGACTAACAAACACTTGAATGTACGATCATACTTATTCCTTGTACTATGCCAATGTGCTCGATTTGCTTTGCTTCTTCCACTACGTACCACTTCCACCACTAGAGCTCATCATAGTTTAGTTGGCACCCAAATCTAAGGTAGAGTCAAAGATTTTGGGCCCATATTTTTGTGTGTAATG